TTATGTTGCCTTTGAGACCGTATGGTAGCCCAGGAATCAAAATTACCCCCATGATGGCATACAATGTGCAAAATCTTAATTTCTCAATTATTTTTATATTTTATTCATATTAAATTATGTTTAATATACAAATATTTGATGTGACATAAAAGCTCTGTTTCTTCTGAACAAAATTATATATGATAAGTGTGTGCGCATATAATATGAAAGAGGTGAATTACGCCTGAACAGACATATAGCGCAAATTCAAGGTTTTGTTTACGTTTTGTTTTCATCACAACTTGTAAAACTGCCTCAGTTAATGCCTTACCAATTATCAACAGGAAATCAAACCTTGTACAATCTAAAACCTTTTCCTAGAGATGACTCTTACCTGTAAAACTAAAATGAAAAATCTTAGTTCAAGAATCAATAAAACTCTCCAGAATATCTCCAAATACACTTTGTAGCAGCACTTAGAAGCAGCAACCAAGCTAATATCCACAATTCTTATTTATATTACAGTTAGAGTGCAGGAATCAGTTAGTGTGCACATTACCTAGTTAATCTGCAGATTAACTAGGGCGATCAGTTAAAGTGCAGAAAATGATTTCGTTTCTCAATTATTTCTCACATTACCTAGGTAATCTAGACATTACCTACTAGGCACTTGTTAAAGTGCAAAAAAATTATTCTGTCCTCCATCTCACTGAGGGTCTCACAGCTCTGGAGGATACCATGGTGTGCACAGGCTGCTGTTCTGTTCTTGTCTGGACCACATAGTCACATACCTGTTCAAACTGTTATCCCAAACTGGTATGAAACGAGTAGCCCCCACCACCACAAGAGAGCGAGCGCTTCCTGCACATTATGCAGCAACACCCTGAAATGATCCCAGCACATGCTCTCCACTGTTCTCAATATCATCATATATTTGAAGACTGTCGGAATCAGTGGTCCATGAGGAGACCTCTCCTTGGTCTCATTCTCCTCAATGAGAGAAGTACACTCCTATAGCCACCACCCCCTAGGAATGTAACACTGGACAAAAACAACACAGGAACAAACCCCAACCAGTCCCCCATAAAGTACAGACCAGCTTAAAAATATGAATCTCCCAGGCATCATGTGGAAATTAATACCAGTTTTGGAACTGCTCTGATCCAATGGAGCCCTTCCGGGACTTACCCCAGGCCACAACCTTGGATGTTTAAGAGGCATTGTCACATTTTAGTGGTCATGACAGTATAGAACGTTTATAAAAATGTGTTGCAGAGAATTGGAATTTTAATGAAAATTACCAGATTTTACTAATTACATGACGTAAAGTCATGATTTTATTAAGGACACGGAGGCGAGTATTAGGCTTTATCTCTTTCTTTATTCCTCAGCAGCAAAGAAAGGATATTGATATTTTCAATATAGCAATAACAAGAAAAACAAATACCCTTAAGGGTTAACCATATAACATTCCATATACATTAACCAATAGGTTCAGTCCTTGTACTATGTCCCCTCATGTGACCTAAGCTACTTCCTCTTTCTGGCTGACGCCGAAGCTGAACACATCAACAAGGAAAATTCTCAAACTTGGGTAATCTCCAGTAGGGGGTTCCGGTGAGTGTTCCGATATAGTTAGGAGATAGCGGATGATCACGGTTATTTCATCACAGGGTTAAGCTGTAGGAGACAGAGAGATATATGGTAAAATATATTCGAATATCGTTGTCATGCATATAAGCTGTACCGTTTTTTTTTTTTAAAAAGCGTTTATATCTGAAACATTGTATAACTAATTAAAAAGAGAGCGCATGCATAACAAATAAAGAACCTTCGTAATAATTTACATGTGGTCCAGATCAAACAATAAGAATAAAACCTAATATACTCAAACAATGATAGCTGCTAAAATAAAAAGAAATTTCCCATTTCATAAAACAAATGTACATATAAATTTTTCAGCGCTTAGTAGATAGTCCCCTTAAGATTAAAAAGGTGCATATATATGCAAACAAATGAAAAAGTCTAGCACAAGAAGTATCCAAAAAGTATAGTTCAGTAACAGAGTCCTGCAATCCAGATAACGTTGTAATATACAGGAGCTCAGAAGCATGTAGTAATACCCTGTATAAAATAAAATACTCATCGTGATGGATCAAACAGAAGAAAATCCTTTGCGTCCCTTCGTGTTTCTATTAAGGATAGCCCCTCTCTCGGTGCACTCGGGAGGGCTGTCTGTAATGTTCTCGATGGGAAAACGCTGGCTGGAGGTCCGACTTCTGTCAAGCGTTAGTGAAGTATGTGAACTCGAAAATCTTCTGGATAAATGATGATAGCACCCTATCAACGCGTTTCGCCCTTCTAACGAGGGCTTTTTCAAGATAGGTGCTAAAAGTCTTGTTCGGCAGTTTTATATTTTGCCGGGCAAAATGAATTCAAATTCCTTAAGGGTATACACCCCCTTATTATAAAACATATCGAAATAAAATACAAATACAATGGTTTATACAAACGGGAACACATAATTTCCCAACTATGCATATAAACTCATACATATTAAAAACAATATTCGTCTAATGCATTATAGGCTAAGCTTAAACTGCTAATGCCATACAAAAACACAAGACATAAAATAGTCTAAACAATGGAAATGGTGTACATATGCAAACAGAATACTTGTGGATATCACTAACTTAAACCAATATATATTCTTAGATATGTCTTAACCTTAAATGTGGACTCAGATGCTGGCATACATTTCTGATGGTTAATTCTAGCTGCAGAGTAGTAAGACTTATTGAAAGTTGTTCATTAAAGCAAAAAACCTGATCCCAATTTGTGTCCCTACACATAAGAATATCTATACAAAGGGAAAAATATAGGAACCACTAAAAACTACTATCATATAAAAACCATGTACAGTGCAAAAAATACATGAAAAGATATCTCTAGTTGATATAGATAGTAGGGGATCCTAACATATATATAAAGATAAATGTATATCTGAAACATTGTTTTCTTCATTCCAGTAAATTCACAATCTAAATTATAATTATTATTATATAACCTTGAATCTGAACATCCAAACCACTCTAACCTGTTTATGAGCAATTGGGTGGGAAGATACATGCATGGCTTACCTTTCATTGGGCGGGCTAATACTCGCCTCCGTGTCCTTAATAAAATCATGACTTTACGTCATGTAATTAGTAAAATCTGGTAATTTTATTAACCCCTTAAGGACACATGACGGAAATATTCCGTCATGATTCCCTTTTATTTCTGAAGTTGTGTCATTAAGGGGTTAAAGGACACGGATGCTCCTATTAGGCTAGTTTAAAGCTGTGAGATGACCATAGACGAGATATGTTCTGTTGGTCGAAAGTAGTATTCTTTGAATGTCGATTCTTGGGACCAATCAGCTGTGCGGAGGAGGTCTTCCAGTTTTCAGCCATTGGAGAATGCTTTAGAGGCCATAGCGCCTCTAGTAGAATGTGCTCCGTAAACTGCTGTGTCGATGTTAGCAGTTGACATTATCCATTTCACCCAGCGTGCCAGAGTTCCCGTGGATACTGGGTGATGAGGTTTCCTCACTGCCAAGAACAGGTCATGTGTTGTTGGGTTCCGGAATGACTGGGTCCGCAGTTCGTATTCCCGCAGGCATGCCACCGGGCAGAGGTTAGCGTTGTGAGGAAAGGAGGGATAGAAGACTGAAGTGATTTTTGACTTCGTACGTCTGGTGATATTAAACAGGACACCATCCGGCGTGAAGGATCGTGAATCTATATAACGGCCCGCACGTCTGATACCCTTTTGCAGGAAATTAAGCACAGGAGCATCGCTAATTTTGCGGACACTTGTTTGAGTGTGAGGTCCCAGTTTGGAGGCCAGTCTTGCAACAAACGAAGGACCATATTCACATCCCATAAGGCCGTGTAGCGGGGTTGTGGTGGACGTGCAAATTTTATGCCTCGTAGAAGACGACAGATCAATAAGTGTTTCCCGGCCGGGAAACCTTCCCAACCGTTGTGCCCAGCTGAAATTGCCGACCTGTACACGTTTATGGTGCGGTAAGCCAAGCCTTGATCGTAAAGGGTAGTAAGGAAACCCAGAACCTGATTTACAGGAGCACGTATGGGATCCATGTGTAGTTCCACGCACCAACTACACCATGTGTTCCAGGCATGAGTATAGGATCGTCTTGTCCCAAGCTCCTGCCAATAAGTCCAAAGTTGTTTGTGAAACATTCGGCATGGTCCAGGGTCCCCTGAGAGGAGCCATGTTAGGAGTCTGAGATGGCCTTGCACTAGAAGTGGGTGAGAGTTCCCATCGGGGTCTGACAATAGTTCCGTGCCTCCTGGGATCAATCTGGGGAGGTCGATCGACATTTCCATGAGTGAAGAGAACCATGGCTGTGCCGTCCAGAATGGCGTTATTAAAACCAACGATGCTCGGGAGCGCTGTAGGTGTAGGAGAGTTCGCGCTATGAGTGAGAAGGGAGGAAAGGCGTATAGCCTGTTGTTCTTCCAGTTTTGTAGGAAGGCATCCACTGCCGTGGCGTCTGGGTCCGGTCTCCAGCTGAAGAATGAGGGAAGTTGAGCATTCAGCCGGGAGGCAAAAAGGTTGATGTGCATAGATCCCCAGAGTTGGTGGAGCTTCTGGAATATTGTGTGATTCAATCGCCATGCGCTGTTGTCTCGTAAGTGTCTGGAGTTCCAATCCGCTACAGTGTTGGAGAGTCCTGGGAGGTATTCCACCTGTACTGATATGTTGCGACTCAGGCAGAAGTGCCAAAATTCCTTCGCCAAGTTTGTGAGGGTTGAGGATCTCGTGCCACCCAAGTGGTTGATGTAGCGAACGGCTGAGATATTGTCCATGCGCAGAAGTATGGAACAATTGGTTGTGTGTCTGAGGAGGCTCCGTAGGGCGAATGACCCAGCTAGGAGTTCCAAACCATTGATGTGGAGTTCTTTTTCTTCTGAAGACCATTTTCCACCTGTAGAGGTAGGACCACAACGAGCCCCCTATCCAAGTCTGCTCGCGTCGGATTCTATGACGAGATCCGGAGTGGTTCCGAAGATTGCCTTGCCGTTCCATGCTTCCATGTGTTGAAGCCACCATGCCAGTTCCTCTTTTACTGCGCAGTCTAGAGGTACAGAATCTGAATAGGATTGACCCAAGCGTAGGTGGGTTGCTTTGAGCTGTTGAAGGGATCTGTAGTGGAGAGGTCCTGGGAAGATCGCTTGTATAGAGGCAGATAGCAGGCCAATTATCCTGGCTAGCTGTCGGAGGGTTAAGACTGGTCGAGTCAACGTCCTCCGGATTTCCTTCTTGATAAGTTTTACCTTCGTGGTAGGTAAACTGAGTGTTCCGTGCACTGCGTCTATATCGAAGCCCAGAAACTCTATCGAGTGGGAAGGTTGCAGGATCGATTTGTCCCAATTGATTAGGAAACCCAGATTTTGCAGAAGGATCAACGCCCAGGATAGATGTTGGTTCAGTAGCTGGGTGTCCTGGGCCATGATCAGCATGTCGTCGAGGTATATGATCAGACGTACACCTCTGCTGCGAAGGAGGGCGACTACCGGTTTCAGCAGCTTGGTGAAGCACCACGGGGATGAAGACAGGCGGAAAGGGAGGCAGCGGAAACGCCACATCGTCTGTTCCCAATGGAATTGAAGTAGGTGTTGACATTCCTCAGCAATCGGTATCGTGAGGTATGCATCTTGGAGGTCCAATTTTACCATCCAGCCTCCCAGTCTTAGCAGGTCTCGGAGGCAGTGTATCCCTTCCATCTTGAAGTGATGGTATGTGACAAAGGATTTGAGAGGCCGCAAGTTTATTACTGGCCTCGTGCCCCCACCTTTCTTGGGTACTAGGAAGATGTTGCTTAGGAACCAGGGGGCGGTAATTGGGACCTTGTATATCGCACATTTCTCCTCTAGTGTGCGAATCTCTTTTGACACCAGATGTTTGTCTCGTGGGGAAAAAACAATCCGATGTGGCAATGAGAGTTGAATCGATTGTTGTGTGAATTCGATGTGGTAGCCGAGGATGGTCTCTAGGACCCAGGCATCTGAGGTTAGGTTGTGCCAAGCATCCTGGAAATGAAACAATCTGCCCCCCACGTGTGCTAAGGGAAGGGTGTGTAATGGGAAATGACTCACCATAAGGCCGAAGGCCATAGGAGGATCCCCTGGTTCCACGTGGGTGCCACGACCTGCCCCTGGTCAGGAAGAATGGTGACTGTGCCCTTGGTTCGGGCGGATGGAACCGTGTTGTGGCGGAGCCTCGAAAGCCCCGGAACGGAGTCCGGGAGGGGCGGCCGGACAGACGGCCCCGCTGTCTGCCGGCCCCACCGAAAACCTTTTGCGAGAACACTTGCTTCATATTATGTTGTGCCTTATCTAGTGCCGTAAACGTGCTGAAATAGTTGCCCAGGGTTTTAACAAAGTTGTCTCCGAATAAGAGACCTTTTGCCTGTGTGCCAGGCTCGGAGATTGCCAAATGTACTAATTTTGGCTCAATTTTCATTAATATGGCTTTACGCCGTTCTGTGGCCAAAGCGGTGTTGGCATTTCCAATTAGGCATATGCCTCTCTGAATCCATCCTCTGATGGCCATTAAGTCAATTGAGGTCCCCCCAGTAAGGGCCGCTTCGACCATATCGAAGATTTTAGCTATAGGCCCGAGTATGTCCAGGATCTTGTCTTGGCAGTGCTTTAGGGAGTAGTCCAATCCCTTTTCGGCCCTCCATCCTGACTTACTCAGAAACTGAGCGATCTTGGGGTCCACCTCGGGGGTCACCCAGGCCATGTCTGGGACAGTGGGGCGTGGGCATTCCGCCCTCAGCTTGTTCCTTGTGGCCTTGTCGAGGGGTTTTCTTACCCTGGTCGCTATGTAAATGGCCACATGAGTTGTGGGGTACCAGTCCGCTGAGCGCGGATTATGCAAGGTGTCAGGATCAAAGAGGGGTTCCCCTTGGGGATCTAACACAGCGGATTAATCCGTCTCATGCTCAGCGTCTAGCGCTGGAGGCGCGGTTTCGCCGCGTTCGGGGGACGAGTTATCTGAAAAGACTGGGTCGATGTTATCGGACCCATCTGACACCTCCTCTGAGTCCGAATCGGAGTCGGACGAATCAGATAGGGCTTTTGCCCTCTTCCAAGTCCGCACCGTTTTTGCCCGGCGGGGGGCTCTTTTACGTGGGAGCACCACGTCATCATTCTCAACAGGGCGCAACCTGTCCGTCTTACTGGTTTTGGAGGTAGCACCTGGCAGATGGTGCATTTTGCATGTAGCCTTGCGGCCGCTAGGGACCAGTGGCTTGCTATCAGAGGGTATAGGGGGTGCAGAGCCAGGGGTGTGGCTGGATGCCCTGATAGCGGAGGAGATAGAGTGGGACAGGGTGTCCGACATCAGCCCCATGGCGTTAAAAATGGCCTGTGTAACTGACCTACTCATCGTAGCCTCCAGGAGCGCCTGGAACTCCTCTGAGTTTACGTGCTCCTGGGATGCGTCCCCAAATCCCCCAGTGGCAGCAGTGTCTGTAGACAGGGCTGTTGTATCACGTTTGCTGGGTTTAGTAGAGGTGGGGGGGGTAACCGTCTGTTTATCAGCAGGGGACTGCATATTGGTCAGGACGTGTCGTAATAATAGTATACAGGGTAAGGCACTAAAACAGAACTGTCACCAGTGGACAAGTGCACACTGACACCACTACAGTGGTTTGTGCACCAGAGGCTCAAGGTAATTGGCTGAACACACTGTATACAGGTATACAGGCAGCTAGGGCAAGGCACAATCATCAAATGGCACAAATAATATGGTAGCTTACCGAGTGTTCCCTCAGGAATGACTCCTGGGGGACACTGGTAAGCTGCCCAACACCTCCCCCAGCCAATCAGCTTGCGCCCCTCCCTGACAGAGTGGCGCGAGCCGCGGATGAAAAGAGCGGCAAATTTGCCAACCCCAAGATGGCCGCCACGATGCGCGGGAGCGAACCGCGCATGTGAGAGCGGTCTAAGTGGCGTCAGATCAACAGCCGTCCGTCTGGCGGCTAAACGACTCGTTCCGATCCGGGGAGGTGAGGAGGGGGTGGGAGGGGGGTACCTCGGGTTCCTGGGAGCGTCCCCCACCCGGTGGGAAGTTGAGAGAAACGGGTTATAAACAACCCGAAACGGCAGTGCAGGATGGGGCTTGCCTCAGGGGAGAGGCAAGTACCCTGCACTGAGGACAGTTGGAGAACACACAAGCTATAAGCAAAATTGATAGACAAATAATATATGTATAACAATACTAAACCATAAGAGAATGAAACACAGTAAACATAACACAATTTTTTGGAGCTGAAAAATTATGTGGTACTTAGCTGAGGCAGCAGCAAAGAAAGAGGAAGTAGCTTAGGTCACATGAGGGGACATAGTACAAAGACTGACCCTATTGGTTAATGTATATGGAATGTTATATGGTTAACCCTTAAGGGTATTTGTTTTTCTTGTTATTGCTATATTGAAAATATCAATATCCTTTCTTTGCTGCTGAGGGATAAAGAAAGAGATAAAGCCTAATAGGAGCCTCCGTGTCCTTTAATAAAATTAAAAGATTTAATGCAAATTATGGATAACTTGGCATTATGTATAAAAACTTGGGGCGACTGAAATGTATGAATTCAGGGTGAATGAAACAAGAGGGACCAGTCACCTGTGCATTTATTCACTAAAAGGTGAATAGCAGATAATAAAAAAACAAAACAGTCTGTAAATTGACTATTTTGGCTTAAATGTTCAGGTTTTATCTTCCCTTTTCAGTAAACAAACCCTCCAAAAATGTTAGCATTTACACTTACTCCACTGTACATGTTAAGGGTTGCTCTCTGAGCATCCCATTTAAGCCTGACGTTAGATAGGAAGATCACAGGAACATAAAACTGACTCCAACAATATGGCTGCATCCGCATTGTGTCTCTTGTGATTACAACACTGCGCTCTCAGCCATACGTCATTCCGAATGACCTCATTGTGAAAACGCTCTATCCTGGAAGCCTGGGGCGGATCTGGGAAGCGGAAGTTTCGTATTCACAGAGCTGTCATCCATTTTCTCTTATCCGTTTTGTAAACAAGGTGCTGGGAAGAGGCTCCATATTTATTGCGCGACAACAGACGAGACATGGGGGGAGTCCTAGGCCTGTGCTCCGCGGCGAGCTGGGTAATAGATCTGGGAAGATGGAGGAGGGCTGTGGCCATGTTATCCTTATACTGGGTAGAGAGGGGTGCTGGATCTGGCTGTAATATTGACTGTATTTGTATCATAATGAGGAAGCAGATCCCAATACGGCCATAACCAGGGCTGGGTCTGTTTACAGCTCACAGACCTGTCTCTAATGCCTGATTGTAAATCTTTCTCTCTCTTATATTTATCTTCATTACAGCAGAACTCTTTATTTTTTTCATGGGGAAAAAACTAAACTTAGTATTTTTATGTAGTGCTTTGTTAACAATAATGACAAATTTACTTTGGCAGGTTTCTTTTCCCTGTTTTTTTTTTTAAATTTTTTTAATGTAAATTCAAATATGTATAGTGAAATATACAGAATGTCTTCAAATATATTTTCTTTATCTTTTTTAAAGTTTGTTAGTAGAGGTAGTTATGAAATTTAATTAGACGACTATTCAATACGTTTTAAATTGTTGGAAATGAAATGTTGAATTTCTGGCTAAAATAGCAAATGTCTCCTACTGACAATCATCTGTTTTTAAAAAAAACAAAAAAACTTAACATTTGGCATATTGCTGCAATCGGCGTGCATGTGCCAGGGGCCCTCAGTACTTTTCCATGGAAAATTATCTGATAAAATAATCAATCATGATGAGCATTGTTCCCATCGTAAGTAATTGTATTTATTTTAGCCTTGGTGTTCTTTAAAATAGTCTGGTATGGATCTTCATTGAAATATCATAATTATGTGGACAAACCTATGTTTACTAGTATGTGGCCATATGGATACTTAGAGACTGTGTCCCCTTGTCATTTTGTAAAAGGTGGTTGATGGGAACAGGCATCTTCTTGTAACACACAATTGATCCCAGTAGTATCTTGTGTTTGATGACTGGGTGCTCATGAGAGTTGGAGAGAGGAGCTGAAGATAGTTTGCGCTGGGCATCCTCTACCGCCAGCAAAATCAATATTATTAGAGGCTGATAATTGGTCAATCTCCACTTTGTGCACCCGGATCCTCATTCCTCGTGCCACTATCTTCGAATTAGAAACAGCAATGTAACCTCACTGCCTACTCTTCCCCACTGTATGCTATCGGGGAGCACTTTAGAGATGGTCGTACATGCCCAGTAAGCCAAGAGTGATGAAAATTTAACTAGGCATGCATGGTGATCAAAAATTTTGTGAGGCAACGGAGGACAGACAGGATAGAGGTGAGTATTGTGGGAAAGTTATCTTGACAAAGGAAGTGTGGCTTGCCTTAAGCTCCACCCTTTTTCCAAAATTGTCTAGTGTAGGGAAAAAATACAAAAGACAAAGTCCCTAGTTTGTCTTTTGTTTTAAAGAGAAGTAGAGCAGAAATGACTAAAATAGGAACAGATTGGTAAAGAAGAAGAGTGGAGGAAACCATAGGAGAAAGGTACGTTTGAGGTGACAGAGCCACGTTAATATAATAGGTGAGATTTATTTACCTTATATCCCATGGCTTGTTGATTTTGTCACGGCCACCTCGCCTCCTCGGCTGATGATATCCATCATGATGATCTCAGCCAATCAAATCTTTACCCGTAGGGAAGCATTGGCAAGCTATTGTGGATGTGCCAATAAAATGCTCTTTATAATAACTACTCATTGAATAACTGAGTCTTTCTACAAAAATTTTTTTACATTGCAAGGTTGAATAGGCAGGAGCAGTGTGTCATTGGTTTTATTTTTAAAGGATCACTATAGGGTCGGGAACACAAACCTGTATTCCTGACCCTTTAGTGAAAACCCACCATTTAGGTGGCTTGCCCGCCCCCAGCCCTTTAGCCCCCTCAGAATGAGTTAAAACTCACCTTATTTCCAGCTTAATTATCTGGAAGTGTTTGCATAAAATTGCCCGAAGGAAGCTATTATACTCACCAGAACAACTACATTAAGCTGTAGTTGTTCTTGTGACTATAGTGTCCCTTTAAATGTTGTTAGATATACATATAGAATATCAAAAGCCATTTTAGTCCTTTGAAAACCTATATGGGTGCACTTAAAGGGACACTATAGTCACCTGAACAACTTTAGCTTAATTAAGCAGTTTTGGTGTATAGAACATGTCCCTGCAGCCTCACTGCTCAATCCTCTGCCATTTAGGAGTTAAATCCCTTTGTTTATGAACCCTAGTCACACCTCCCTGCATGTGACTTGCACAGCCTTCCATAAACACTTCCTGTAAAGAGAGCCCTAGTTAGGCTTTCTTTATTGCAAGTTCTGTTTAATTAAAATTTTCTTATCCCCTGCTACGTTAATAGCTTGCTAGACCCTGCAATAGCCTCCTGTATGTGATTCAAGTTCAATTTAGAGATTGAGATACAATTATTTAAGGTAAATTACATCTGTTTGAAAGTGAAACCAGTTTTTTTTTCATGCAGGCTCTGTCAATCATAGCCAGGGGAGGTGTGGCTAGGGCTGCATAAACAGAAACAAAGTGATTTAACTCCTAAATTACAGTGAATTGAGCAGTTAAATTGCAGGGGAATGATCTATACACTAAAACAGCTTTATTTAGCTAAAGTAATTTTAGGTGATTATAGTGTTCCTTTAAAGAGAAACCCTTAAAGGGACACTCCCGGCACCCAGATCACTTCTGCGCCTTTGGAGTGGTCTGAGTGCAGACTCCCACCACCCTTAACCCTGCACGTGTAATTATTGCAGTTTTTATAAACAGACAGCCAATAGAGGGACGTCCGTGTTCTTAGAACACAAAGTGTTTTAAACGATGCTAGATGTCTTCACACTATGCATGAGGACCTCCAGCATTGCAGGAATCCTCATAGGAAAGCATTAAATAATGTTTTCCTATGGGGAGGTCTAATGCATGTGCGGTCACTGACATGCATGCGCATTAGGTCTCCCTCGCCAGCTGTCGTGGGCAGAGCCTGACCCAGCACCAAGGGACATCGGCGCTGGATTCAGGTAAGTCACTGAAGGGGTCTTAACCCCTTCAGCAACGTGGGGGTGGGAGGGAGACTGCAGGAACAGATATGTTTTTCTTGCACTGGAGAGTCACTTTAAATTGCAGTGGAACAAACACATAGCACAAATTCTTGGTGTTGTTTTATTTTAGAAGTTGGACAGTTCCCTCTGTCTTAAATTGGTTAGAACGGCTCTCTAAACATCATAACCACTACAACTAATTGTATTGGTTCGTTTTCTAGAGTGTTTTACCATCAACACCCTATTTTATATAAAAACCATTTAAATTTGGATTGACCAAAACTCAGGCTTTCCACAGCAACAGGAGACCATTTCCATTCTAAATGTATTTATTATTCCAGGTCACTGCCCCCTGAGATTATAGGCATTGTAACAACTACATCACGCTATAGTGGTTAAATGGTTCAGAGTGTATATTAAATCCTGGAGGACAATCTGCTTCAGAATGAAATACCAATATATTAAATATACAATCATCACTTATTTTTTTTTTTTTTTTAAATCTTCTCCAGATTCCTTGTCTATGTGGCACTGCGCCATGTCTGCTGTGCCGATGCTGCCCAAGTGGGAACAACTCCACAATAACACGCCTTATATATGCCTTCTTCTTACTGCTTGGAGTAGCAGTTGCCTGCATCATGTTATTACCAGGGATGGAAGAGCAGCTCAAAAAGGTTGGTAGATTTTCGCAGATACGGATATTACAGTTTTCTCAACACACATTCTAACAGCTGATATATAATGTTTTAAATAAGTATAAAAAGTGGATATTAGATATGTTCTCATGGGTATCCAGGAGTAGTTATGGTAGGTGTGATATACTTTTAAATGTAGGATAAAATAATAAATAAATAAAACTTGATAGATATTGGTGGACTTGGATGGCAGTTATAAATATAACATGAAGTATAGAAGTCCCAAATATACAAATTCTAAGTAACAGTCTTGAAAGTATCAGTCTTTAAAATGTCACAATATGGTATTGATACAATTCATGCAATGTTAGCTTGTATCAGGTAGCTCCAGCTATTGAACCAGCTGGGGTTTTTCTCCTGAACAGGCTATTAAATATAGTACTATTAGTGATATTTTCCCCAATATTTTATCACTAATTTGTACACTGCATATAAAAATACACACTATAAGATCCTGTATAGTGATCTTGTGTGTCAGCTTTAAATCTGAGAATTTTTATTCTCAAACCACATGTTTTAAAGAAATATGTTTGAAAATGATGTAGGTGGTTTTCTAAACATTTAATATGATAGTGTATATGACATTATTCCTTTTGCATGTAGATCCCAGGATTTTGTGAAGGTGGAATTGGATCCTCTATTCCAGGGGTGAGCGGTCATGTGAATTGTGACGTTCTGGTTGGGTACAAAGCCGTGTACCGGGTGTGCTTTGGGATGGCCATGTTTTTCCTTCTGTTCTCACTACTCATGATTAAAGTGAAGAGCAGCCAGGACCCTCGAGCCTCAGTGCACAATGGGTAAGACTGGATGAGATGGCAGCATATATTGTATTAATTTAAAGAATTCCAATAGTTTTTATTTATGCACTCTTCACAGTGATACTGGCAATGAGCCAAACAAGCTGAACATGCATAAATTCCTTAAATTTACACAATATTTTGATTCTGTATGTGCATTGTTTTCAAGCAGCCCTTTGCTGCAGGATGTGTAACTTTATCTTCCGCTGACTGGAACAAGAGTTCCATTCTGGCTAATGTAAATTCTGTGCATATTAGTCTGTTGTCAGTACACATAGTGGTTACAGACAACCAATAGTATCATGCCCAACCCCTTGTCACCCAAGTCCCTCCCAAAGCTTCTCCACACTGACATCCCACCCCCTCCAGTAATGGAAAGTCATGTTATAGGAGAATTCACTGCCAGGAGAACTTAACCTTGGAGCTGAGACAGAGGTATTTTTAAATCTTTATTTTGTAGGGGTACAAGCGGACAGTAAAGTAAGGGTTACTCTGACCAAAAACAGTGTTTGATTAAAATGATGTTTTTGGTTGCAGTAACCCTTATGGCCATGCTACCCAAAATTGTCCAGGTTGTAAATTTAATCTTTAACTTTTCCATTTTAAATAATTTTGGGCACGACAATGAATGTGTTATTTTACACTACTTTAAAACTACTACAGTGTTTCATTTCTGACAATTTACATAAGCAATATAATAAAAATGTATTCTGTTTTCACAGATTCTGGTTCTTTAAGTTTGCCGCAGCCGTTGCAATAACTGTTGGTGCGTTTTTTATCCCTGAAGGACCCTTCACAACAGGTGAGTTCTAATTGTTTTTTTTAAATGTATTGGAATTGCACTGACCTAAAATTTATTTTTGTTATTAGCACCAGTGATGATAAATCTTCCATAAATGAGTGTCATTCTATTGTAACTATATATTTAATCTCTACACTGTGCTTTAAAAAATATTTGATTTGCGTTTGTCTGCCCAGCTCTGCCATGTGCTTACACCATACAACATGCTTCTGATCATTTGAACTCATTTTTTTTCTTCTAGTTTGGTTTTATGTTGGGATGGGTGGAGCATTCTGCTTCATCCTCATTCAGCTGGTTTTGCTGATTGATTTTGCTCACTCTTGGAATGAATCCTGGGTTGAAAAAATGGAGGAAGGAAACTCAAGGTGCTGGTATGCAGGTGAGCTTTGTTACTTTAACCTGCTACTTTTTGTAGTTTGGGCCAACGAGTTTTTAGGACAGCAGTAACTTAATATTTTCGTAAGTCAACCAAAGTCTGTCTTCTAAATGATTATTTTTTTTAGTCTAACGTGGGAAAACTTTACTAGAGTTTTAGAATTTGTTGACAAAATTACAAGATTTCAAATGACAATGTTTAAAAAGTTATTCCAGTGCAATATTGTGTTTTATTTAGTCGTTTGTAATGTTTTCTTTAGGCCCCCCCAATTTATTTATTTTTAATTTTTTATTTTTATTTTTTTTTTATTTATTTTTTAATGTTAAACTGTTTAAAGCTTACAGGAAATCAGGTGTCAGGCCAAGTGCTCCCGGTTCTCTTCCACGCCTTTCTTGACGTGGCACATCGTCATTGATTGGGCATGGGCACGTGCTGCAAGCGTTTGCAGTGTGGGTGACTGCGAAAACCTTACTGGTGAAATAAGGGAATGAGAAAGAGAGCATTTTTATGTTCAAATGGTAGGACAGGAGGGCTGGAGATCTCGGCACACTGTGAGAAAGGCTTCACTATGCAGACTCACTCCTAGCGCTCAACAACAAAAATTTGAATACCACCCCAAACTATGGTGAAAAAAGTGCACAATGGTTACATTAATATTTATACATGTTGCATAACTCAGTAGATATAATAAAACATTAAGCTATGTCTTCACAACAATATATACGAAATTCAATATCTATACAGATAAAATAGGCAGATTTGGGGCAATATTGTCTGTGCATATAAATGCACTCACAAAGGTACCAATGTAGCAAGCTCCTCACTTATCTAGAGTATAAACTCCTCCTTGATCTTGAACCTCCTTAACAATAGGCAAAAAAGAATGGACAAAATAGTGCAAAACTAAAATACACCAAGATTTTAATATAAAGAATGCACTTACAATATTGAAGTTTAAAATAGGCATATTAGCAAGGGGAAGAACCTTTTAACCCATGCAGATGAAAAGCACATAGGATCCAAAATGGAAATCCCTCATCTGGATACAGCAATAAGCAAGCACAATAAAACAAAAACAAAGAAAAATCAAACACGCCAAATGTGTTTTGTCTCATTTGCCTGCGTGTGAAGAATCTCATTACATCTGTGGCCAGCACGCTGACAGCAGACATAAAATATGCATAGAATTGTTATTTGGAAGCTCAGAACAAAGTCATGTGTGCCGGGGCTATAACAACCCCACCGAACAAAATTGCTGATTTCTCTATATGTGCTGCATTTCAGGATGAAACGCTGCACATAAGGACCACTTCTAAAAGCAGAGCTAGACTTAGGTTTATCCCAGAACCTAAATGCACACCTACATTTTCCTTTTTGCTCTTTCTGCTTCCTCCTTCTCTCCAATTTGATTACTTTTCTGCTCCTGGAGAGTGGAAAGTGCATTTTTGACTAGGAAAATATGGTCTGTCTATGCTCTGGCATCAGAAACTGCATCAATACTTACTGCCCTGCATTATGCTGAATCCAAGTGCAAAAACTACTTGATTCTAAGTGTTCTGTAAACTTCAGTTTTTTTTGTTTTTTTTTCATGAACTGCCCAGCAGCCCTTGGTTGTGACTTTGTTCAATGGGTGGTTTATAGTACTGTTGACGTGTCATAATTAAGTGTTCTTGCATAGCAAGACCACTTAATGTTATCTCACATATATATATTATTCTTATTTTAGCCAAATTTACCACCCTAACTCCTCCCACAGTTTTAACACTACATAGACAGTAATATACCAGATTGTTCCCGATTGGTGTGCTATTACTTTGTGGAATGTTTCACCGAATGGTTCACGGAATATCGTCGTTTTTGTGGCGAAATTGGTCCCGTAGGAATGAATGGCGAAATGTTCAAAACTAGAGTGGGAGCTGACAAAAGCTGAAAAATCAGGACATGATTTCTAAACTGCCACCACTCCCTCATTTTCAAGCCCACCTACACAAATCGTATATCAAAACGTTCAGCTATCCCTGCTGCCACTAAAAATGTTCACGGCTAAGCCGTAGTCCTGATAGTTTTCACAATATGACAATCTGTTTGCAATTCACGCCGTCCACTCTAGCCAGCTCAAAATTTGAAGGGCAATTTCTAAACTGCGACTGTGTCTTCATTGTTAATATTTCAGAGACATACTATGCATCAAAATGTAGGTCTGGGTCTTGTGATTCTCACAATATAAAGCTTTTCGCTGTAGGATTTATAGTTTTTAAAATACGACCGTTTGAAAATGGCAACCGCCAAAGTACTCTTACCTGTGCCAGGCTGGAGCAGCAAGTGATGTCATAGACAGGGCCTTTTGTACACCTGCTAATGTTTTTATAAATGTATGTTTTAATGTAACTGTTGCAATTAAATGTGCTATATAAATAAATAAAAGTTGAAACGCATTTCTCACTCTATCAAGCTTGCCATGTGCACATTTTAAATTTGATCAATCAATTGGTTAGTGTAATGTTTGCTATCTTTACTCACTCCAAACACTCCACACAGTTACTCTGCCCAGTCCAACCTTTCCACAGTTACTCCAGCCACTCCAACCATACAACAGTTACTCAAGCCACTCCGCCCACTCCAGTTGTAGACTACTGGTGGAGGCAAGAACACTTCACACAATTTCCCCAGAAATTGTAGCTTTTCTAGTTATGAATATCCCTAACAGAGGTGAATACAGCATGTCTAGTCGTTTTACGTATAGATTTTTAGTCACAGTCTATGTTCTGGGACTCTTCACAACATTTGAATACTGCTTAAAGTTCTGTTTATATATCTAAATATTAATGTTTCCTACTTTTTATCCCCACAGCATTATTATCAGCTACAGGTATAAACTATGCCTTTTCCCTGGTCGCCATAGTCTTATTTTATGTGTACTACACTCATCCAGAAGGCTGCTATGAAAACAAGGCTTTCATTAGTGTGAACTTGGTACTGTGCATTGGAGCCTCTGTGTTGTCCGTTTTGCCTAAAATTCAGGTATATATAAATATATATTTTCTTTGTATGAATTCCCCATCATTATTTGGTTAAGTTAGATTTCATTGTGTATCTGGGCTGTATAGGAAGCACGCTCAATATGATATATATATGTTTTGTTTTTTTTGAAAGAGTAGGTGTTACTTTTGGGAGGCTGCATATTAATACATAATTTTAAAGAACTAAGAACAACTCCTGCTATTTGTAGAGGGTTATGTATGGAGAGCAAGGTTCTAAAACAATTGCATTCAATAATGTTTTATTGGTGATCGCATGATGATGATTGCACCATGTTGAGAATTTATCAATGTTCCTTCATACATCACCCTTGAAGTTGTTAAGGCCTCCACTGTAGTAATATGTAACTATGAAGTCATAAAATCAAATCTCAGTCTTTCTAGTTGCATAAGTATATGAAGATACGATATGCCTCTGATTATCCTATTAAATCAATGTGAAATTGTCCCTTTTTAAAATAAACGATTCAGATTCTTTTCTCGTTATTGGCAGCAACGAACAAAGTGAGAGACACAGCCAGTGAGAAAAAATTGTTACCCTCTTGTTTGCAGTCAGTGTGAGCTGAGCAGAGCATTTCCCTATAGCTGGAGTTGTTACCAGCTACTTTTAAACGTTCTACAGGGCACAGTGCTGATAATGAAGTATATATTTCACAATATCAAGAAACCTCACTTCTTGGAAAGCTGCCACGGCTGTTCATTAAAGAAACCCTTTAATCTCCCCCCACCCCCCTTCAGTCACTTACCAAAATCCAGGCCCAATGTCAATCAGCTGTGGGTTGCCCCCCTCCTCGACCAACGTCAGCCGATGGGGTAGCCTAATGCGCATTAGATCTTCCCCATAGAATAGCATTGACTCTGTACTTTTCTATGGGGGATTTAGAAACAGCAGGAAAACCCTCTAGTGGCTGTCTGGGAGACTGCCACTAGAGGCAGTCTTAGCACTGCAATGTAATCATTGCAGTTTCTCTAAAACTGAAACATAATACATTGCAGGGCCATGGGTGACAAGGAACAGTGCACCCAAACCACTTCAGTTGACATCCTACATCGTCTCTTTAATGAATAAGAGATTTTAGGAATACTTCCATCAAAAAACTTTATACAATTGTGCTCAAAATGGTACATACATATAACAGGTGGAGCTCCTAAATAAAGATTCTGTAAATATTCTGCAAAATAAAATATGTACAAACAAATAGTGCAATATGTCTTTAAAACACTATATACAGAAGAGTAAAAGAGTGGTTCAACTCACAAGCCTAGAGTCATACCCTCATATGACTTAAGTGGTATGCTCCTCTGGACCATTTGTGGGTTGTCCAAACCCTTCTTTCCCAGCGTTCTTAGCAGTATTTCTTGTCTCTCTTGATAGGTTCCCAAGTGTAGAAATGCCAGGTGCAAATGGGATCCTTTTAAAGTGATTTTATTTCTTCAACAAATAAAAAAAGAAAAATTAAATAAAAGCAAAGTTTAAAAGTATTAATACCAGATATTTTCTGGATAGGCTCAATGGTCCCAAATAGTGTGTCCAAGTCCAAAACGCATTTCGTCTGATTAAAAGGCTTCCGCAGTTGGCTGTCGAGACGGGACCCAGAAGTGACGAGTACAATCAACGAAACCGGCAAGCAGGCTATTTAAAACAACACCACCACCACATGGGATACACCACAGCCAACTGAGGAAGCCTTTTAATCAGGTGAAACGCATTTTGGATTTGGACCTGATCAAAAGTTTACATACCCTTGAGTGTTTGGCCTTGTTACAGACCCACAAGGTGACACACACAGGTTAAAATGGTAATTAAAGGTTAATTTCCAATGCCTGTGGCTTTTTAATTTGCAGTTTGTGTCTGTGTATAAATAGTAAAATGAGTTTGGTGGGTCTCACGTTGATGTACTGAGCAGGCTAGATACTGGGCCGTTGGGGGAGCAGAATAGTTCTGTCAAAAAACCTGCGCAACAAGGTAATGGAACTTTATAAACATGGAAAAGGATATGAAACGATATGCAAAGCCTTGAAAATGCCAGTCAGTACTGTTTTATCACTTATTAAGAAGTGAAAAATTCGGGGATCTCTTTATACCAATCCAAGGTCCGGTAGACAAAGATTTCAGCGACAACTGCCAGAAGAATTGTTTGGGATACAAAATAAAACCCACAGGTAACCCCAGGAGAAATGCAGGCTGCTCTGGAAGAAGACAGTGTGGTTGTTTCAAGGAGCACAATAGGACGATACTTGAACAAAAATAAACTGCATGGTCGAGTTGCCAGAAAGTAGCCTTTACTGCGCCAGTGCCACAAAAAAGCCTAGTTACAATATGCCCGACAATGCCTTGATACGCCTCACCACTTCTGGCACACTGTAATTTGGAGTGACGAGACCAAAATATGGTCTCAATCATAAGTGCTGTGTTTGGATAGGGGTCAACAAGGCCTATAGTGAAAAGAATACCATCCCCAACGTGAAGCATGGTGGTGACTGATGTTTTGGAGGTGTGTGCGCTCTAAAGGCAAGGAAATCTTGTGAAAATTGATGGCAAGATAAATGCAGCAGGTTATCAGAAAATACTGGCAGACAATTTGCATTCCTATTCTGCGCATGGGATGCTCTTGGATTTTCCAGCATAATGACCCTCAGCACAAGTCCAAGTTGACCCTCCAGTAGTTTCAACAGAAAAGGGTGAATGTTCTGGAGTGGCCATTAGTCTCCTGACCATATCATCGAACCACTCTGGGGAGATCGCAAACGTGTGGTTCATGCAAGACGATCAAAGACTTTGCATGACCTGGAGGCATTTTGCCAAGGTGAATGAGCAACTATACCATCTGCAAGAATTAGGGGCATTATAGACCACTATTACAAAAGACTGCACACTGTCATTGATGCTAAAGGGGGCAATACAGAGTATTAAGAATTAAGGTTATACAGACTTTTGAACAGGGGTCATTTATTTATTTTTTTTCTTTCTTAGTTGCCATTTTATGTTTGTGCCATTCTGTTATAACCTACAGTTAAATATGAATCCCATAAAAAATAAAAGAAATGTGTTTTGCTTGCTCACTCATATTTTCTTTAAAAATTGTACTTACATTACTAATTCTCCAAGGGTCTGAAAACTTTTGAGCACAACTGTATGTATCACAAACTCCTTCTTTAAAGTAGTACTCTCGTCTCATAGCGACTTCAGCTCATTTATGTGGTTATGAGAGCAGGAGTGTCTGGTCACTGTTACAATCAAGGGCTAAACCATTTTGCAATTGCACCTCTGCTCCAAGCTTCCTTATTCTCTGGTTGCAGTATAATGAAGGTTTGATTTGGCCAGTTATGAGAGCAGGAATGTACAAGCACCCATTGGGAGAAATAGCACACACTGAAGTTAAGACGGCAGCCGGACAGTCATGTAACTATAACATCTTAACTTAAATTGCTATGAGAGTGGCGCTGTTCCTTCCATGTGGTCTTCATAATACATTTTATATTCCTCTAATATTTATGCATTACTTAACCTATGCCATGTGTGCTGTTGTTGATGCAGTAGCTATTTACTGTCTGAAAAATATTTTTTGTATTTTAGGAATCACAGCCCAGATCTGGCTTACTTCAGTCTTCAGTTATTACTGTTTACACCATGTATCTTACTTGGTCATCTATGACTAATGAGCCAGGTAATAAAAATACATTTGAAATATATAAAATCTAACAGAAAAACTGTGCTAGAAAGCTAACTATGTGAAATAATAGCCTGGACTTGAAAAAAAAGAAAAAAAAACCTATCAATAAAGGCTTGTGAATTAGTAAAACAGTGTTTTGAGACTGATTTTCAAAACGGATTGCAAAATGTAACCTAATATAGCCAAGCTATAGCATCGTCAGAGAATGTTTCCAATTATACTATTTCAGCCTAATCATGTCTCTTAATTGGTACAGATTTAGATAATTTCAAGTAAGTTCCTGTTTTTTCTTAATGCCTCCTAGATAGGAAATGCAACCCAAGCCTCTTAGGAATAATTGGCTACAACACTACAAGCGTTCCAGTGAAAGGTCAGATGGTGCAGTGGTGGGATGCCCAAGGAATAGTGGGGCTTATTCTCTTCTTGCTGTGTGTCCTGTACTCCAGGTAATGGGGCATTTTGTAGGATACATTTTTTTTTTTTCCAACTCCCACTAATAAATATAGAGGCAAGGGTGGTATGCACTGAAAGTGTACACTATATTATAGTGATTCGTCTGGTTTTTTCCGCCTATTGTACATTGCTGCAGGATGTGTTGGTGAAAAATAAATACCAAATAATAAAAATTGATTATGCCGTATTTCAGCAGTGTCAAATAGTTTGATTCTTTGAAGGACATGCATGAAAATACTAATTTGCCTTCTTTTGGTTTATCAAATAGTTTCATTCATAGGTTGTTTTGTTTTTGTGTTTTTCTTTATTTTTAATATTGAAGCGATTTGCAGACACCCCTGCTGCAACATTGTGTCTCATGAAAACCCAGGAAAGATTGCATTTCACTTTCATGCCATTTATATGAATGACAAGTAATTAAGGTGTTTCACAGAATATAGCATAGGTTGTTATGGTGCTTGGAATTTGCATTATTATGTAGAAGTGTATGTGGTTTTTATTTAAATGTAACATGACATTATCTTTTACCTTATATACAGCATTCGTACATCTTCCAATAGTCAAGTGAACAAGCTAACTCTTACTAGTGATGAGGCAACTCTTATAGAAGATGGAGGTAGCAGGAGTGACGGTGATTCAGATGATTCTCACAGAGCTGTGGATAATGAGCGTGATGGGGTTACCTACAGCTATTCATTCTTCCATTTCATGCTTTTCCTAGCATCTCTCTATATCATGATGACACTCACCAACTGGTACAGGTAAGTCCACGAGATGTAATTGTGTTACATATTTAAACGTAGAAGGCGTTTCTAATTTTTCACTATAATCATGAAATAGAAAGTAGAATTTGAAAAGGCAGTAGAGGTATCCAGGAGATGTCCATGCTGCCAAATGACTTACAAAATGAAACAGTGGCATTGAGTTATACTTTAATATAACCCTGTGTGTAGGTCTTGCTAGTAGCTGTGGATGTCAGATCTGTCTGTCTCTAATAGATATACATGCTTTCAAATGGGGGAAGAAGAGGGAGTGTGTGTATTGGATACAGAGAGAGATAGATGCAGATCATATATAAGTATATTTGTTTAGGCCTACCATTGTTATATCATAGGCCCATACAGCACCAACAATTTACACTTACTAAAAATTATATAAAGACTGTCCCAATTGCAGCTTACTGACAATCACCGTCATTGGCAGTGATGAACTCTAACTAAGAACTGTAATGTAATATAAAAGATACATAACGGCAAAGTGTCTATTATGGGAATATAACACATTTATAAGGTGTTTGAGAGGCTCTCCACACTGATGAAGTGGCATTATTTCCCATCCTACATGCTTTGTATCTTTTTTTTGTTGCATAAGAGATTTTGGTTTGGGTTGTGTAGTAGTAAATGGATTGTGTTTGTGAACTGCAGTGTAGTGGCCTTTATTGTGAGGGTAGCACTTGGATATGCATGTCTCAGTGCTCCTTGTGATTAGCGGGAGTGCCAGGTAGAAGCTGACACTCTGGAATGCAACTCCCATTAATCTTGTTTAAACTGGACATGTGTCCTTAATGTACCTGAGATTAGGGCACCTGAACTGCACGTAGATTAATAATTCATTATGGAGAACAAATGCACATGTGATGTAATACAATTTAAACTATATAGTTTTTAGTAGTTGTGGATTGGGATGTAACATAATCTGAGATCACAGTTCCTCTTCAACACAATATTAGTTCAGATTTAAGTATCTTGGTACTTTATAAAAAGCTTGCCTGTCATTCACACGTTTATCTATTTTGTTTTTTCTTTTTTTTTCTTTCTTCCAGTCCTGATTCTTCTTACGAGACAATGACCAGTAAATGGCCAGCTGTTTGGGTGAAGATCTCCTCCAGCTGGGTGTGCATTGTGCTATATGTGTGGACACTGGTTGCTCCATTGGTGCTTACCAACCGTGATTTTGACTAGATGAAATGGAGTACATGATTTCAATATGTCTTTGTGTGCCAGGAGCACCAGGCTATATAGTAGCTTTTGCTGTTTCTGCATGTCCTTTTGTTAGCATTTCACATAGTGCATGATGTTGCGGTGTATGTACAATAAGGCTAGAACTTTTGAAGCTACACTCCATAGATCACATATCCTATTGTATTAATGTGTAATCACTAGTGTTCTACCAAATCTTTGCTCTACTATACACAAGTTGATGGTGTGCAGTGTTAAACAAACCTTTTAAACCTTTTGCTGCCACATTAACCTATCAGCATTTGCACTTTTCACTAGAAGAGTCAAAACTTTGCCCTTTTAGTTTTTCATAAAATGCCTCAAAAATTGTACGTCATTATATACGTAACACATTTTATTGCCCTAATTTTTAATATATTCATATATTGTTTTTTGAAAACTGCTGGGATTATTTTTGGTTGGGTGGTGTTTTTTTTTTTTTTTTTCTCTCCTAAAGATAAGAAATCAAATAGATTCTTCAGTGTCAAGTCAGAAGAAGAAAGAACACACAGTTCTTAGTTCTGTAACTTAATTCATATTTTAAATGTGTTTGAGTACAAACTTTATTGTATGTTGGTTAAAAGCAGATACTTTTTGTGCAGTGAAAATGTGCAATTTTGATATTGTATTAATGTGCTGAAACAAATGTTTATTGTAAAATAGCCATGTATTATCTAGTCACTAGACTTGCTTCTATTTTCTTTTGCATTGATGGACAGGAGCCAAGGTCAGATTATTGTAGTTGCAGAACAGAACTCTAGATAAGACTGTACAACTTTGTTTTGAATTAACTTTGTAATCTATATTGTCTTAATAAAATAAGGCAACATATAAAATTCAGTGTTTTCTTTTTTCTTTTTTTTTACTTTTCAAATCTTATTGAAGTTTTGTATAACAAAGTAATTCAGGAAAAGCTACATATGTCCATAAATGGCAATACTGTATTTCACGCCTATATACTTTCCTTAAAAATTGGGATGTGACCATTATGTGAAGCTTTCTTTTTTGCAAGATTATATAGATAACCAAGAGGGCTTCACTCACCTGAACATGCATACATTATAGGATGCTGCTGGGGCCAAAATATACAAAATACAGAATCCAACGCACTCGCTTATTCACTACACAATGATTTCAAATCTTAGAGATTGTAATAGGTTTATTTAAAAACACCTCACCTAGGCAAAAAATAATGGGGGTTTAGTTACATTATATGATCATACATTGCATAAGTCTTCCAACTACGTCAAAGTACCCCATATTCGGCGGGTTCTATCCTAGTAGCAGCCTAATGCTTGCTCTTATGAGATTAATCCACTTACTTGGGAAATACTTCCTTACTGGGACTCTCTGCAAGTCAAGGCTAAATAGGGTCCTGGAGTGAGGCACCTGTAACGGGGGGGGTGCAAAACCAAGGAGTTGGCCTGGGACTCCCAAATATATAAAAGAAACCAAGAGGGCTGCACTCACCTGAACATGTATACATTATAGGGTGCTGCTGGGGCCAAAATATACAAAATACAGAATCCAACGCACTTATTCACTAAACAATTATTTAAAATCTTAGAGATTGTAATAGTTTTATTTAAAAACGCCTCACCTAGGCAAAAAATAATGGGGGTTTAGTTACATTATATGATCATACATTGCATTAGCCTGCTCCCTCCAACCCACAGTCCAGTATAAAGCTATAAAAGAAAAAACATGGGAGGGTGGCTGCTGCTGCCATGAATTATAGTCAGGAAAAGAAAATTACGGTAAGTATGGAGAAAATGTTTTATATTCCTGGCCATTCATGGCAGCATCACTTATGGGTAATACCCAAGCTCAGAGCAATGGGAGGGATAAAAGAACAGATACTATCAGTCTGCTACAAAATTAATTTATTCATGAGAGATAACAGAGGACAAAACACCTCTCCCAAAGGACTAGGATGAAGAAGCTACATCCAGCTTGTAATGTCTGATGAATGTCATAGGAGAGGACCAGGTGGCTGCCCTGCATAGGTCGTCAGATAAAACCTCTGCCCAAGTAGCTAACGCTCTAGTTGAATGGGTCTTTATATTTTCCGGAGGGGATAGATTCTTGACATGATAGACCTTTTTTATGGTGTTTGAAACCCAATGCCTTAAAGTAGCGGTAGAAGCCACCTCTCCCTTTCTGTAGCCAGAAGGAATAGATGTTGTGACTTTCTAAAATGATTAGTGACCTCCAGATACTTAATCACACATTCCTTCACATCCAATTGATGGAGCTTAATTTCAGCCGTACATGAAGGGTTTTGGTAAAAGGAAGGCAGAACAACTTCCTGTACCAAGTGGAATCGTGAAACCACCTTTGGTAGAAATTCCATTCTAGGTCTTAAGCTAATTCTATCGTGGAAGACCTGTACGTGATTCAAATCACTGGAGAAGGCTTGAATTTCAGACATTCTTTTAGCAGTAGTGATTGCCACCAAGAACAGTGTCTTGTAAGTCAGATTATTAATACCCAGAACATCCAGTACCAAGGAGAAGCGTAATTTCTTGAAGGAGGTCTTATGCGTATCTGCTTTAAAGAACCTCGCTATTATTGGATCCAATCCCCAGGAGGTGTTACACAGAGCAGATAAGGCTGATGATTGAACTTTTAAAGTGCTTAAGCCCTTCTCCAGCCCTTCATGTAGAAATTCTAGTATATCAACATGCGAAGGATGGAGGACATTTTGGGATTTCTGTTCTGACCATAAGCGAAAAACATCCCATATTCTGTGATAGCATGCGGAAGTGGAACTTTCCTGGATTTTAAAAGCATATCAGCCACATATTCTGGTAATCCTTGCTCTAAGAGTCTCTGCTTCTCAAGAGCCAAACCCCCAGACTCAATTGGTTTGGATTGGGATGAATCGGTGGACCTTGGATCAACAAATCTGATCTCTGAGGAAGAGGCCATGGAGGACCCAGGCACAATCTGTTCAGGAGCGGGAACCAAGGCCTCCTCTGCAAAATCTAAATTATTGCGATAACCATCTTCCCTTCCTTCTGAATTTTCCTCAATAATCAGTGAATCATAGGTGGGGGAGGGAATGCATACACCAGATCGAAGTCCCAGGGATGGGAAAAGGCATCTTGTCCTGCTAATCGATAGTCCGCCTTTAGGGAGAAATACTTCGGGACTCGAGCATATCATTATAAAGCCATCAAGTTGATCTGAGGCATGCCCCACCTTAACGATATCATTTGAAACACATCTGGATGCAATTGCCATGCTCCCGATAGAATTGTTGTTCTGCTCAGATAGTCTGCCAGAACATTTTCTGTTCTAGAAGGTAGACCGCTTTCAGACCCTGTGTCTTGTGTTGAACAAATTCCATAAGTGGAACTATTTCTATTAAGAGAGCTTTGCTTCTGGTTCCCCCTTGTCGGTTTATATAGGACGCCAAACCCAAAAGGGCATAGAATATGGCTCTCAGGTTTTAATGCAACCTTCTCTCTTTCAACTCCCATGTACCTTGTATCTATTTTTCTCATCCTTGGAGACTTGCATCTGTGGTAACTGTTTTCCGTGGTGGATCTTCCAGAAGAAAGCATAAAGATAGGTTCTTGATTTCCATCCACCAAGACAGGTCGTCTAATGTTTTCCGAGTGAGACGAATTTTCTGTGCCCAGTTGCACTCTTGTTTCTTAGTCTTTTAAGAACTTCATTTGGATTGGACGCATGTTCCACTGAGACTATTTTACTAATCCTGTGGTTGATGTAATGCATTTTTTGTAGCAAAGATTCCAGATCTTCACCCGAATCCTCTCCATTCTTTCTGTTGATAGATTCACTTGTCCTTTGATAGTGTCTATGGCTGCACCCAGGAATATCATATTCTGAGTAGGAACCTTCCTCTAAGTTTTGTCACCACACTTTAAATGCTCTTGACAAAGTGGTTAAAGCTACTGCTGGATGTGTTCCAGAAGTTTCGATATGCAGTCCTTCATAGCTATTTCTTTTTCTCCTTTTGCTACACGAGATTGGATAAATACATCTTTTGTCGAAAAGGCTTCAAATTCTATCCTGTATCTTTCTGCCAAAATTGATAGGACCCAGGAGTCTGTCAAGCTTCTGACCCAGACAGGATAAAAGAGATGCAGTCTTCCTCCTGTAATCCCTGGCTGGGCCGGCAAAAGTTCAGAAGTTTTTACTTGGAATTCATGATCCTCTTTCTCTAGAAGATTTTGACTGTGTTGGATAGTTTCTCCAGTTAGGTCTGGCCTATTCCTTCCCTGGCTTATATGTTCTGCTGTCACTAAAGGAACTGTGGTCGAACCATATTTTCTTCCTTGTGGAAGAAAGGCTTTTTTCCCCATCAGCTGCCTTATGAATCCAGGACTTTACCAAAAAAAAAGATCTCCCTGGAGTGGAAGAGCACACAGAGAAGCTTTAAAAGCATAGTCTGTTCCCCAGGAGTGCAACCATAACGCTATTCTTGCTGTAATTGACAGGCCCATGCTTTTAGCCACCATTCTAGTGACATCCAATGATGTTGCGGAACAAAATTCAGTAGCCAACTTCTTTTAGACCTTCCAAAAAGTCATCTCTCCGAACTCCTTTAGCAATGTTCTAAACACACAAAATTGAATGAACTTGCGGTGAAACTTGTTGATTGGGACCTGGTGATATGCGTCCCCCATTCTTTGTTTGGTATGATAGTTCTATAACCTGGTCTCCTTTGAATAAGGATATAGTCTGAATGCTTTATTCTTTAGGGTTACTTTTCTCTCTGGTTTTTACCATTCCTGGTAAATTATATCCTTTATGGTAGAGTGAACCGGAAACGTTGGTCTATTAGCTTTCAAATCTTCGAAATACCGGTCTGATTCTTTTAACCCTGATTTTTCCTCCAGGAATCTGAGTCTCCCTTATGATGCTGATTAGTTTATCAACTGTCTTAGAATCCAGCATTCTTGAGGCAAAGTTAACTTCACCTTCCTCTTTGTCTGACAGATCTTATATTTTTAAACTATCACTTGATTCTGGGGAAGTCTCTTCTAAGGCGTTTGAATGAGGTCATCTTGCTTGTTGTGGACTTAAATCCTTCTACAATCGCCTCTGTAATTGTCAGACATTCTTTACAAAGATTTCTTCCACTGGGTGCTTATTGATTGCAGTTTACACATCTATTGGATTTATCTTTGTGTTTTCTTGGAGAATCCTCACATGGATTGCTTAGGCTGAAAGTGGCCAATATAACAATATATTATGGGGCCATAGTGGCACTCTTTTATCCCCCAACTACCGTGTTTCCCCGAAAATACACCCTACTCCGAAAATAATCCCTAGCCGGATTATCAGGGTGGGCTGCAATATAAGCCCTAACCCGAAAGTAAGACCTAGGCATTGCACCTTTGCGGCCCGGCGAGACTTCATTCTTCTACTGGGGGAGGAGCGTTGCGGGCCGCGGCATCGCGCAACGTGATGACGAGCTTTCGCAGCGCCGTCAGTCTGCTTTCACGGATCTTCAGCGGAAGGATCCATTTCCGGGTGGTGAGGCACCCAGTGGTCGGACTCGGCGGGCAAGGAATCTTTGAAATGTGAGTAGATATTTTATGTCTGGGACTGAATTAATTAAAGGGGGGTGGGGGTGAATTAATTAAAGGGGGGGTGAATTAATTAAAGAATTAATTAAAGGGTGGGCCTTGGATTAATTAAAGAGGGGGGTGGATTAATTAGAGGGGGGTGATTAATTAAAGGGGGTGGATTAATTAAAGGGGGGTGGATTTATTAAAGAGGGGGTGGATTAATTAAAGGGGGTGGATTAATTAAAGGGGGGTGGATTAATTAGAGGGGGGTGGATTAATTAGAGGGGGTG